CTTGATCAAATATTTGGCATTTTTCACGTGTATTTAATCTCATCGGTCGATTTTGACAAATAATATTGTTTAAAATTGTTTCATCACTCAATTCTTAAATATATTGTTTAAAATATCTATAATATATAAAATTTTTACAATATACTGCAATTTTACTAATCATGATGAATTATATAAACAGTGCAAACAATTATAAAGTTTCACTTTGTTTAACATTAAGTATTTATTTCGTCTCTATGTAAGTTTTTTATTCAATCATTAATTTGATTAGTTCAACGTACTACTGAGAATGCTAACAATGAATGAGATGCAAAGAAAACAGCGACGTTAAATTATCACTGAAAAAAATACAATTTAATCGAAAGACGCTGCGAGTGGATCGGTAATCTCATTATATCAGACGTTAGAAGATTAATTATGTCCATTCGAAATCGATCATTCTCTTGGTAACGAAGAGCGACTTATACGAATAACGACACGTTAGGAACGTTTCGAGGAAAACGGTGATTCATTTTTCTCAGGGGAAACGACCACCAGACCGAAAAGTCCCTCGCGTCGCCGGTCGGAGATGTATCTCCATAAAGACACGCGTCTTATCTTTATTCGAATCGATTGACATGACACGACGGTCGCTCGCCATTGCTAAAATTATCGTGACCTTTTTTCTTCAATGAACCGATCTTTTATTTCCTGGTCCATTATTCCCGGAATCTGGGCCGATTGTACTGACATTGGCTAATTAAAATTTTCCTCTTTGCCTTTGTATCAACGAGGATGTTACAATGGGAAACGGACGTTAGTTAACGGACTGTAATTTGCAAGTGGACGAATATCTGCGAACATTGTCCTTTATTCAACTTTTCAATTCAAAACATAGATTAATTTTTAAAAAACGTGAAATGAATTGTCGTTATCTAAAAGGATCTAACATGTATGTTCTTTACAGCATACATGCGACATTTCAGGTATTTTATTAAAAATTAATTAAATCTCAGATTAAAAATTTGCTAATAAGCAGAAGTTGGAATAGTTTTATTTGCGATTCTGACTTTTTTTAATTAAAAGAAATCACTTTCATTAAGAAAAGTAGACTCCAAGATCTACCAGAAAATTAAAACAAAAAGCAAAAAGTTATATCTAAATATATAAAAAATATATATACATATAAATACATAATATATTAAGAATTTAAAAAAGAGAGATTCTTGATACTACTAATTAAAAATTTAAAACAAAATAATTTTCTGTTTACAATAATTTACGAAAATTGAAAATTCATCTACATTTCACATTGTGACAGTCAATAAATCTCATCATAAAGCGATCTAACAACCAAATTTATGCGCAAGCTGACCTAAAATATACTTTAGGAGTGCTGCGAACGAGCGAAAATAAATGCACCGCCGCAGGTGTTCGTCTGGATCTATGTTTAGTATGCGCATTGGTAGGTAACTTTTCAGATCAATAAAAATATTCACGTATCCTCAAATGTTTATTTAACAGTTTGAAAATACTCACCGAAATTACTGTGGATTTAGGGACCTTGATTGAGCTCGAACTATAAAGGTGGACAAAAAGCTTTGAACTCGTTCTTCCTGAGTAACAAATACTACTTTTTATAAAGATAATTTACTTCAAAAATAACTTTTTACATTATAATAAAATTATACGATTAATATATATATATATATGTACTACTCAATCTTCAGTACATTTTTCATCATTTTTCATCATACAGTTTCATCATTCATTCTTAATAATAACTTATATTATTTAGTATTGCTATATCTGAATTATAGTAAACTATAATTCAGTTCATATTTTTAAGTATAAATTATCGCAAGATTATAATAACAATTTGCAACCACGATTTTAATTCCTCGCTTGATCGTAGTTTTTTATATACCAATCAACAGTCTCTTTAATCGCTTGTTCAAAAGGCGTAAATTGAAAATCAGGCAGATACTTTCGTAATTTTGCATTGCTTGCTGTTTTTTTGAATTGTCCATCCGCTGCCGATGTATCATACATCACCTTTCCCTTAAAGTTGAAAGTTTGCGCCAGAGTCTCTGCCACTTGTGCTATCGATTTTTCTTGCGCTTCGTCCACTAAAAATTATTACTTTTCTTTCGCAATTTCCATAATAAAGTTATACTGATAATTGCAATATTACAATATTGTTTAACCCTCTGTCGATAACATGGAACTTTATTTTTTCCATCCACAGAAGTCTTCGAGAAATAAAAGAAATTTTTTTAACTGCAGGTTATATAAAAATCTAAAAAAATTCTGATATACTTATACACTAAGTTTTTAACGTTTAATCACCAGAAAATTAAAATTAAATTTTACTTATTCTTTACAGATTTAAATTTATCCACTAGTGACAATTAAATTATTATATTAGTTAGTGATGACTTTAAAGATCCCATGTTGCCGACAGTATAGTAAAAATAATAGCAGCTAAAGTTATTGATAAATAACGTTTACTAGAAAAAAAATTAGGGAAATAATACTATACTTAAATGAACAATTACCTGATAGTATAATTGGTTCCACAGAATCATATTCCCGCAGCACCCAAATTATTAATTTTGCTAAGTCTATGCTGTAGATGAATTGCCTTAAAGGTTTACCAGAGCCCAATACAGTGAATATTTTATCTTCTGTATTTCCTAATAGAATTAAAATGCTAATGTGATAAGAAATTCAAATAATGTTTATACATAAAACTTATTTTCACAATCAAAATATTGGTGCCTTTTTCATACCATCTTTGCACAAGTCATAAAGTCTTCGCATTAAACCAGGTATTACATGACTATCATTAGGATGAAAATTGTCATGTGGACCGAATACGTTGCAAGGAATCACACTGGTATACAGCCTGCCGTGCTGATCATAATAACCTCTGTTAGCAATATCTATGAGTCGTTTGGCATGACTATAACCATAATTCGAGGAATGTGGTGGTCCATTGTGGACCTATAATACATATAATACATATAATACATGTACTGACCTACATATACATTAATTACAGTCATATCTAATGTATGTTACTACCATAGTTTCATCTATTGGATAAGATATTTTATCAGGAAATATACAGGTAGAAAGACACGAGACAACCTTTACGACATTGTTCTCATGAGCAGTGTGCAGAACATTATCATTCATGTGTATATTGTTCCGCTGCAATAAAAGATATTGAAATCACGATTAAAGCTACAATACAATAAATTAATACGCAAATAATGAAAGATATTATGTCCTTCGTGATATTTACCAGAAAGTCTAAATTATGTGACATATTGTGGAAGAGACCGCCAACCATAGCAGCTAAGTGAATGACATGTGTCGGTTTATGATGCTCGAATAACTTCCGTGTACTCTCTTTATCACTGTAAAAGTCATTTGGTTAAAATAAACGTCATATACATAGTGTTTTGCAATCTCATTATTCGTTTGGTTGATTTAACCTTAATCACTTAATCTAACCTACCCCAAATCTGCATCTTTAGATCCAACAAATATCCACTTTTCGTTTTCTCTTTTGTCATTCTCGATAACATTTTGAATCGCTCTACCAACGAGTCCGGTACCGCCAGTTACAAGCACAACATTCATGTCGCATTAAAGGAATCCTCTTAAATTCTGACAGTTAATCAGTGGCTAAATGATAGTAAACTAATCAACTATGGCTGTCAGCTGTGTTCCGAATTTACTGCCAGCGCGACAAGCGCTGAAAATACTACAGTTTACGTCACGTGCACTATAGATTTTCAGTACAGGCAGTAAATTTTGGAACATCCAATAGCAATGAAGTTAAAGTTGAATCTATAAGAAACAATCATATTTATTTGCCCGGCGAGCAGGCTAGCCGCCTTGTCAATTTGAATGCGCTCATCTCACTGCAAAATGCTTCGAAGCTTTTGATTGATCAATCAAGAAACGCTTTAAAGCATTTGTATCGCGTCGACCGTAAAGACATGGATAATGAATACCTGTATTACGTGAAGCAGCCCAGCAAACGAGAATGGATTGAAATGGATTCAGATTTCCAGAAATATTGATTCACGAATGTTAAAATGAATGCTTTTCAATCCTGAATGCATTTTTATTCATTTATTGCATGGAGCATATATATCTCTATGCTTTTTAATCTAACAATAATATTAGCTTTTTCTGTGCATTGTGAATACTGTTCAATTCAAAATTTTGAATAAGAAATGCAGTTTTTCAATCCAATTGCATCCAATTCAATCCAATTGATTGAATCCAAAAAAAAAAAGTATTCGCTATTTAAAATATGTGTGTGTGTGTGTGTGTGTATTCAGATAGAAAAAAATTTCAATCCATTTTAATCCATTCTCGTTTGCTGAGAGTTTAAACATATATATAAGTTTAATTGTTGTAGAATTAAAGATTAAAAGACGACATACAGCCGCAGTGTAGTAGCTGCTGTGATTATTATATGGAAAATAAAAAAACGGCAATATAAAAAAAAATGTTGAGTAACGCCCAACGTTTGATATAAAAAAATCGCAATGAGAACAGTTTTTACTTTGCAGTCACGAAATTAAAATTGGAAGATTTTCATTTCTATTAATAATTATTTTAGAATGAGTACAAATCAGTGGGAGAAAACTTGACGATCAATCATCGTCTCGGTTTCCGGGAACAAAATGAAGCAATATTGAAAAAATATATTGCAATTGTCTGGGAATGCATGATACATCACTGTCGAGAAGTGTCGCATATCCAATTTATTAATAAAATCGAGATAAATAAGAATAGCATGATAATTAAAAAATTTTTTATTTTCCTTTGTTTCCTAAAAAAATAGAGATCAATTTGCATAGCAAATAATTTGATTCTGGATTATTACCCGAGATACGTGTAATGATTTACTAAAATACTTAATTAGACCTTCATTGTTTATTAGTCTTGTAGATTTAGCGTAAAAAGTTAAATTTACATGAAATATATCGTTAATATATATTCTTTTGAGACATTAGAAAAATATCCCGGGCAATAGTATCATTGTAATGTGTGAACAAAAAATAAAAAATTAAAATATAACATATCCATAATTGTCACTAAATGTAATAGACATATTAAAACGAGGAACCACCATTTTCGAAAACTAGCAATTTTCGCAATTTTCTCGAATTTGTCTTTATTTTTCGCCTTTTGTTCGAAAGAACTAATTTGTATAGAGACCTAAGAAAGTTGGGAAAACTATAAAATTTGTAATTACAACCACGATAAGTGTCGTTGCGCTTGGCTTAGCGCCGAGACACTACCGTGTCTTCTAATTCCTGTCATAGCGCAGTAAAATAAGAAAACTTTCCCTGGCTGGGAAAAGAATATCCATTTTATCAATTATATTAAAATATGATTTTAAAGAAATCATATATACATCAGAAACAATATAAAAATTTCTTTCTAATATTCGTAAAACTTTATTAGGCCTCTCATAGCTGTCATGTCTGAATCACAACTAGTAGATCATAACTAAAAGGTTAGTTATCAACGGCAACGAGAGGATAGCTGGCACTGCTTGCTATACCACAATGATTGTTCTTGTTTCTGGCCATTTTAATGTAACCCTTTTCACCCCATGTTTCGCCCCAACTATTCTTTACCAGCCAATAATCATGACCGGTTTTTGAGTCTGTACCATAGCCGACGATCAACACACCATGATCTAAATTTTCTGAATCGCACTCAGGATCAAAATATACTCCTAAAAAATGTGAAAAGATTTTAGTAAAAAAGAAAAAAAATGAGGATACAAGTTCAGATTTTATTACACAAAAATTAGTCTCCAACTAATCATTATGGATTAAATTTTTGATCTACAAGATTAAAAGTCTTATATACAAGTTATAAACTCATTAAATTTAAAAAAAATTAACTTATATTAACTATATATATATTAAATAAATATATATATAACTACATACCTTCACTATAAAGCTGGAAAGATTCATGAGAGGCATCAATAGCAACCGAGACCGGACCTATAGTGGCGACTGCAGCCTTCAACTTCTGTTCATTTCCTCTTGGAATATCTACAAAACCGACATCAGTAGCGCCGCTATCTCTCGGATTGTATCTGCAATTTCAAGAATTTAATAAATCATTAAATTCTATGTATGTTTTTCAATCATGCAAAATAATTAATACAAACCTGCACTTGTCATTCTCTGCTTCATATGGGTAACTCTTTTCGGTATCAAGGCCTTTGTTATCTCTGACGTATTTAAAGGCATTATCCATCATACCACCATTGCATCCTTCGTTGCCATATTTGCCAGAACAATCAACCAAATTTTGCTCACTAAGTGATACTAAAATGCCGCTCTGTCTGAAATGCTGTCCTTCCAAAGAACCAGTCTGCAAGAAAAAAAAGACAATAAGTAATGTCCAATCCTATCTATTAAAGATATTAAAAAAATAAGCTTACAGTAGAGAATGCCCAGCAAGAGCCACAATGTCCTTGATCCTTAACTTCTGTAACAGCACCATGTTTCCTCCAATCGACTTCTTTTGGTAATTCGATATTAGCTGGCGAAATAAATGTTGCTCCCATAAATTGCTTTTGAGCCTTTGCCGACTTATTGAAACCATTCAAAGTATTGACAAATTCATGATGCAACTGTAAGAAAAATAAGCGTTTCACGAAAAATTGCTCGCTTCGTGATACAGATAATTTGCTTTTTAGAAACTTACCATATCACCATATTTGTTCATTCCCAATTTGTAGAGAACTTCATTCAGCTCATATTTGCGATTGTGTTCAACAATTTTACGCTTGTTATCTAAGAAGATTTTCATTCTATATCCCTCCTCAATCGAAGATTTGTAGATTTTTTTATGATGTGTCTTAAAAAGTAATAATCATTATAATCAATATTTATTTTCATTTTTCATTCAATTTAATCATTAATTTTATTTAATAATTAGTTTTCGAGAATTTCTTGCATAGTGACTTCTTTATTTTCTTAACAAATATTTAATCATATCGTATTTGCTATGAAATATATTCTAAAAAAAATCTATAACTGATAAACAAAGTATCCATGTCACTACTTATAAATAGTAACTAGATATGGAAGGTTAAATTTTCATCTTATTTAACTCTTCAGAGTAAACATTATGATGCAAGCTGTAATATAATCTTAAACTCTACTATAAATACAACTTTTATACCTTAAAAATGAACCATTCTGCATCTAAAATCTTGTTGAAGGAAATAGCTTGTCCCGTGGCAAAAACTGCCAGTAACAATAAGACCACCACACTCTTCATGTTTATTCCTCAATTAAGTCACCTACAAAAAAAGATTATTTCAATACAATATAGAATAGATATAACCCTTATAACAAAAACAAAAAAGTTAATTTTATATATTGTAGATTAAAAAATTATTATTCTACTCAATCGCTTATTCAATCTTATTGAGAAAATTCATGAATTTTATTTTATAGTGCAATAAAAAATAAAAATATAACCTAATAGACTAGCAATGAGTCTTAGCTTGAAAGAGCAGAGTTCAAAATTTACGTAAGAGAAAGAAAGCAACGTTATTAATAGCATAACAAAGCTTTGTCCTACCGCTGCAAATATACGTAATCAAAATTTCGAAAATTGCACAAAAATTCCATAAAAGACATTGCGACAACCGTTTATCCTATTTTTTGCACTACAATTATCAAGAACTTTTATATTCGAAAAGAATCATTTTGTTTTTCTGATTCTTAGAAAAAAATTACGCATCCTGCATGCACTGTCAGAAGCAATACGTATCCATGCGTGTGTGTATATATATATATATATTTTACACACACACACACACACACACACACACACACACACACACACACACACACACACACACACACACACACAAAATGTAATTGTGTGCAAAAAAATGCCTCGAGGTTAATCAAATGAAAATCTCTGCTACGCCATTTGTAGTTTTGACAATTTATTTTTTTTCTCTTCTGGATATGGGTAATTCTTTTACAAACCGAACGGATTTTGATGAAAATTAATCGGCACCTCTTCAATTTGACTGAAACTTTTTTTACGGATTCTATGTCGAAAAAAAAAGAGATACGTGTCCGAGGAATTTTTTTTTATTTGCATATTTTCGATAATACAAGTGATCGAACATTTGAGAATGGCAAGTTTTTTGGCTTGGAGACTCATTTTCATAAATCCATAGGTCCGAATCTTTAAGAGCTACAAAATTTTCACCAATTGCACTTTTGTAGCTGAAGGACTGAACTGTAAGAAAAAAATTTTTTTTACAAAAAATACTAACAAATTTATATTGTTATTAACAATTTAATTGTTTAAATCGATTTTTAACAAACGCCCCCAAAACGAATCAAGTTTTTAGTATTTTTATCGCATTCTCCGTCAAATTTTACGTCAAAAACATGTTTTCAAAATATGGTACCTTTTCAATTATTATTGTTAAAATATTAATTTATATAGCGCGTAACGGCCAAAAAAACGGTTTTTTGCTAATAAAACGAAATCTGTAACTCGTATCAAAAAAAGTTAAATGTAAAAGTTGTAGATAATTGACAGATCTACAACTTTTCTCGAAAATTTTTTTTGACATAACCTCAAAATTTTAAATTAAATTGCAAAAAATGTTAAAAATCAGCTTTGTAACAATTATTTCTTGACAATTTGCATAAAAAAAAGTTTATGGGTAATTAATTTCGAATCGAATCTCCTGACATGTTAGAAAACCAATCTTGATTGAAAAAAAATTATTATGAAGCGTTGAAAAAAAAATCCATCCAGTGCGTAACTTTGACATGTGGGATTTATTTTATATTTTGAAATTATGTATTTTTTGGAACTTCGTTTCTTAGCATTCATAATTATTTCTCCAATGGTTTTTTGGTTTAATATTGGTTTTTTAATTTTTGCATATTTTTAAAATTTCGCGGGGAAGTCCGCCTAAAGTGAGATCCGTAATCCATAGTGATCTATTATTATTTATCAAAGTCTTTCATGGCAGTGGTGGCTAATACAACCAACAGGGCGATATTACATGACGCACTGGATAGATTTTTTTTTCAAAGCTTGATAATAATTTTTTTTCAATCAAGATTGGTTTTCTAACATGTCAGGAGATTCGATTCGAAATTAATTACCCATAAACTTTTTTTTATGCAAATTGTCAAGAAATAATTGTTACAAAGCTGATTTTTAACATTTTTTGCAATTTAATTTAAAATTTTGAGGTTATGTCAAAAAAAATTTTCGAGAAAAGTTGTAGATCTGTCAATTATCTACAACTTTTACATTTAACTTTTTTTGATACGAGTTACAGATTTCGTTTTATTAGCAAAAAACCGTTTTTTTGGCCGTTACGCGCTATATAAATTAATATTTTAACAATAATAATTGAAAAGGTACCATATTTTGAAAACATGTTTTTGACGTAAAATTTGACGGAGAATGCGATAAAAATACTAAAAACTTGATTCGTTTTGGGGGCGTTTGTTAAAAATCGATTTAAACAATTAAATTGTTAATAACAATATAAATTTGTTAGTATTTTTTGTAAAAAAAATTTTTTTCTTACAGTTCAGTCCTTCAGCTACAAAAGTGCAATTGGTGAAAATTTTGTAGCTCTTAAAGATTCGGACCTATGGATTTATGAAAATGAGTCTCCAAGCCAAAAAACTTGCCATTCTCAAATGTTCGATCACTTGTATTATCGAAAATATGCAAATAAAAAAAAATTCCTCGGACACGTATCTCTTTTTTTTCGACATAGAATCCGTAAAAAAAGTTTCAGTCAAATCGAAGAGGTGTCGATCAGACAGGTGTTCGATTTGTAAAAGAATTACCCATATGCGCGTGTGTTGCATCCTCTGGAATAATCGTTCGTTTGATTATCCTGCCGTTCATGCTAGTGTGATTTTAACAATGACTCACATTTCTCGCGACGGAAAACCTGCGGTAAAATTACTGCGATGACACAGCGATAATGTCAATTTGGGTCCAGTGTAGATAATATGATTCTGTTTCAATGGAACACGCGAAAGACGCACGATCACGTGGAGATAATACATATAAAAAATCTCAAAATCTCGACCTTGTTACAGCGCGTTGAATAATGAGCGGCACATGTCGTTTTACGAATCAATCACATGCATGTTTGCACGCACTTGTACTTGAAAAGTCTCATGGTCAGAGTTCTTTATCAAAGTTTTTCTTTTCGTGTCAATTTCAGATTCGGTTGAATGTATTTTGAATGCTTTAGCCGAGACGCAAAAAAGATTATCAAATTATTACTAAAACTTGAAAAGAATGTGATAAGAAATCGATAGATTAAAGTTTAAAAACCCAGTTTTACAATTCAACTTGTTTCTTATCTCTTTCCAATTCTAGAATTAAAAAGAAATAAGGAATTAGTTGAACTTTGTTTAAGAGTTGACTACAAATTTTAAAACTGAGCCTTCAAACTTTAATCTGTTCATTTCTTATCGCATCATTTCGTCCAGCTTGTCTAGACAAAAGAATATGATAAGATTTCGATATTAATCATATATTCATGGTTTACTGCAGTATCAATCTACCCAATGGTACTCTAAAAACAAAGTTATGTACAAAATTGATGACACTGACGTCACAAATATATGTATATCGGATGTTATCTCCCTTTCCTTGAAATGACGAAATACATTTGATTATGAATTCCTTCTTTAAACATAAAAAAAACGAAAAAATGTTCTTGATATCTCTCAATTGCGCACTAGACGCGTTTGCTACCACTCGACAAGATAAACATTGAATCACGTGGTAAATAAATGTATAAAAAGAATTTATAATTATATGTCTCCATCGCGATGTTGTCCAAATTGTTTTGATTTAATTAATAATTTTAATTGCAAAATATATATATTTAAAAATTACAATAATATATACAATATTCAATAAAGATTAGATTTTTTTCTATATAATCATAAATGTTCTATAACATAAAAGACTGATATATTATTATTTTTTATTCAAAGGATGATATAATTTTATGTTCCAAGAACTTGCCTCACGTATGTGAAGTGTAATGATAAAATATTAAATTCTCAATTATTTTCTAAAATAATCAAACAGACAAAAGAATAAATATATAATATAGTCTATCTGACATAGCTAGGCAGCTGTGATATCGATCTTTGCATGATATCAACTTCACATTTGTTTGTTTACAACAATGTACGCAAAAGTTGATCATCCTTCTCTACTTCAGCTTTACTTAATACATAAAGTACATACAGTATCAGGAAAAAAAAACATTGAACACAATGATTTCAAAACCACCACCTAATTTACATTAATTTTAAATTTATGGAAAGTTGTTTGTTATAGGTTCACTTTCAAGATTAATATTCATCTTGGAATTGATGTTTCCTTTATGTCCATTTCTACCAATGTAGATTAATTTCAATTCAATTTTACTTTTTACGTTTAATTCAAAGAATTAGAAAAAGATAAAGAATAAATTTTGCGAGTTGCGACAGGAGTTCACATTTTGACGATTCTCTCAGCCTAAACGCCCTAAACGATGTTTTAATATTAGTAATACAATAATATGTCCTTTAGGTTATATACGCACAATTCAATTTTTACGAAAATCTAAACGCGTTATCGCATTCTGTAATAAATAACGAGATGGCAGGAAAAGAAACAAAGAAAACTGAAGCTATTCATTTGTTACGCAAATTGAACTCTTCCGCTATAAATACGCACCTATTTGACTACATGATTTAGATTTAAAAAAAAGAAATTTACACAAAATACATGAAATATGAAAGGCTGCTGCTGGAAGCGAACGAATTGCGTTTCTTGCTTGATCAAGCATTTAGAACAATGAATTAATAATACTCATACGTGTTTACACTTACGAGCTCTCTTTATTCCCTGCAAAACTTTACTCCCTGCCAGCTGAGTCTACCACGGACGTAATGACAATCTGCGACAATCACAATCGTTTCCGACTAGCAGCGTCGTTCTTTTGTATTCCTCCCTCTCCCTGTTATTACTTTCCACCATCATAGGCCACGTGATTCAGCGACAATGAAGTCCATTGGCGTCGTCTGACGACGTTTCGATGTTTGTATGCACATACATAATATATGTATGTACATTAGTTACTCATCGCATTTGTTGTTTATCGTGTTCGTTCGTTGAATTCCAGCGCGATGATCCTCCGTATCATTTTGCACAGCTTGTACAGAGTGAGATAAACGATTGTGACGTCACGGCTGCGAGTCTTGCCAGTCATGTGTCTACGATATCGAGTAACCCAGATTCATAATCAACCTCGTGAGGGGATGCTGCGACGCGGCAGTCTCTGTTTCAAAAGCGGAAATGATAACACGCGTGATTAAGCTTGTCACGAGGTCTACACCGTGTTTCGTATCTTTTCAGCGATAAACCGAATGATGCAACCGACTGAACCGACCGTGCATGCTACCATCATTTATATTGGAAAATTTATTTTTGGAAAATGTGTTATAATCCGATCTGATAATTCGATGTAAGTTGTTCTTCACTTTGTTTGGAACATGGTTGACAAACATCGTTTTATCTTTTTTGACACTCAACGAATAACGTAGAACATTCATTGTGTCGACTGTCCTTTAAAGAAAAACAGCCGTTAGAAACTAATTATTCATGTTGTGTACGCTGTACATTTTCATTACTGGTAGAAGTGTGTATCTGAATACGATCAAAGTATAAAGGAAATAATAATTATACATAATCTATTTTTTATTAGATATTGTGACTACGTTCAGCAATGGAACAAGCAGCTTTGCAACTGTTGCAAAATTCTTCAACATGGTTGGTTATGGTTCTTTTTTAGTTCCTTACGGATCTAAATGTATAAACCAATCGTATTGAAAAATTTCACAACAGTTGCAAAGCTGCTTTCTCTGCTGAACGTAACCACTGAGACAAAAATAAGACTATTCTAACTTATATTTATTGAATGGGCGTCGCTATATTGAAAATTAGGCACCAGCGCCTCTGAACTTAAAGAGCAAAACTACTTACGTATATCATTAAATACGTGTATAAATCATTAATGGCAAGTTATCGACTGCGGTCGATTTGGACATTCACGCACTTTAAGCACCGACGAGATACTATTAAAGACTGTCAAATTTTGGGCAAATTTTTGGCGGTATAATAAGGGAGGTAATTGAAGAAGAGATAATTGAAGAGCTGACATTATCGATTATATCAATTGATATAAATTTGCTCTTATTAACATAAATAGTTCATACATTATTAAATTCATGATTTTTTATTATATAAATGTTCTATAAATAAATATGCATACTTGTAAAGCTATAATATTTTATATATTGCAGAAAAATTACAATTTTTTTCTCTCCAGTTATCATCTCTGTTGATAATCAAACTTTGATGATAGCATTGAAATTACAATTTTAGAGAAAAATCGAGTATTATTGAGTTCTAAATGCATAAATATGTCCACTAAACTAATAAATCATAAAATTAGTACAATATTTTCAGTTTTTAACTCTTAATTACTTACAATATTTACAAGGACGCCAACTCTCGTAAAGATGTCGGTCTTTAATAGTATCTTGCCGATGGAATTACTCAAAGTTTGAAAAATGTCTATTTCACAATTTGCGATTAGTATATTGATTACGATCGGTAAAAATCACGTATCTGCTCGCGGGATAAAGTAGAGAAACGCAGTGAAGGGTGAAGGGACAGAAATAAGGTTACGAAATTCAGAGTCATGTCGACGAAAAAGATATACGATTTAACGCCGGAGCAACGCAAAATCGCGTTGTGGAGAGATGCGAAACGGAAGCAGTTACGCGAATTGTACCTAAGAGATTCAGCACATCCGACCAAAAGTCTTCTCGTACGTACATACACGGACATTTAATTTAACCTATAAGTTTACAAATATTAGCGATATTTTACTCCGTAGACAATATTTACGCCTGTTTGTGTTTGATTTATGTATTGACAAATTGCATTCATTGCTATCATTTATTGTACGATGGTATTTTGTTCACTTGCATTTATAATTTATTATTCCAATCTTTGTTTTATTTATTGGATTCAAGTATGCTTAATATTTTTAAAGAATACGAAGTAGTTTATTATAAAAATTATAACATTAATAAGAATTAAAAAATCGAATAGAATCATAAATGCATAAATATTTGTATATGTATGTATATAACTTTTGCTTTAATCAATTGTGTACACTTATATTTAAAATTGCCTACACAGAAATTATATAACAGATTAATGAAACATGACAATAGAGGAAACTATCTGTTGTACTTCATGTTTAGTACTTTGTTAATTTTGAAATAAGAAAATAATTGATTTTAGAGTATAATAATGTCTATCTAAATTAATTTTAATAAATTATTACATGATTACTCATTCTATGAATATAGTTTGATACAGGAATATATAGATATGCTGCCTCGAAAGCATCGATAGAGCAGCACTTTGTACCTACATTGATACGATTTGTGTCACGAGTTGGAATGATTGCATCTTTTGTTATCATAACTGCAGTGACATTAAAAAATAGAAAGGTAAGTCAAATGTGATTAAAAAACATAAAATTCGAGAACCGATGTAAAAATATTAATATGTAATGTGTATTATTTTTTTTATAGGATAAAAAAGAACACTTGTATCGTACTGGGCAAATTGATTATGCAAGCAGATCACATAGATTCTGTTAGATTATTATTTTAATAAAGTATATGTTGATGTATCTAACTTAACACTAGATGATGTAAAATAAACTCATAAGAAATATACATATATATGTATATATTATATATTCATGTTAAATGCAATGTATGTTATTAGAAGAAATAAGAAAAACATTCAAGATTTTATAAACGTATAGTTATGAAAGGAAAATTCGATGAAGAGTGATACCAGTCTCAAATATAAAAGGTACACACATAAAATATGAATTTAACACAATAATTAAAGACTATAGATTTCTCACAACAATCGATAAATTTGTATATAGGTATTCTATATTTTATCATTATAGAAAGAGTAATGTAACATATGTGTTCATTACGTTTCTATTATCGATCTTCCAACTGCTTGTCACGCGCGACAACAGCGTCATCGAATTTAACCATGTATGTAGTTCCTTTATGCCAGTGTGCCGTTACCTTAGCAGGCTGTATAATAATATTTAAAACATTTATAAATTTTGTCCCAAAAAAATATAAATGCACAAGCTTAAAAATTGATCGATAGATTATCTAAAAAAATAAATAAATAACTGCTTACAAAGCCGCAATCGCAAAGTACAGCCTCCACGATACCAGCGACGAAGGATGCACAGTTCAAGCTCCCTTTATCTTTGGGTACCGACACAAATTTGTTTACCAAGGATTCCTTTTCGATGATGTAATAAGTACGTTCGTCGTCGTTTGCATGTTCCAGTTTATCGGCCTCTCGACCAAACAAGGACTTCCATACCGTACTTTTGATAAATAGCAGTACATTAAGTAGCTTTATCTCACGTTTACCACCCTTTTCCCGTACCACAAGTAGATCTGTTATCCTGTGTCCAACTTCTGCTCCAATCTCTGCCAATCTAGTCACAACATAAGACAATATACCTTTAAGTGAGTGCGAGATAATGAATGATAAAGAATAATTTGATCTACTTACTTATTCTGCAGCTCTGGAACGGTATATACTCTATTTTGACAATATTGCACTAATTCGGAAAATAAAAGAGCAAAACAACTCAAGCTAACCTCTCCTTTACCTTTACTCAAGGATTTATCGAGGATACTAGTTCGCGGTCTTATGGCTGATATCGTGATACTTGACATCTTTATATAATTAAATATATCGTGCAATTTTTATAAATATTATTATCAAGAAACGTTGCGCGATACTGTCAAAATACTATACACTGTACTGCCATTTTTTTACGATTAAACTGACATCTGACGGCAGTGACGACTAGTGGTGAGCAAATTCAAAAAGGAAAGGTCTGTTTGAAAGGTCGAATTGTTTTAAATATATTCGAAACTGTAATTTTTCTCGTAATCTTCTTATCTATCTTATCATATCACTATCTTATAATTTAGAAATTTCAAATATCTTAAACAAAAGTAAATAATTTTATTTATTTTCAAAAAAATGCAAAATTTCTGTTATATATTTATATAATTACAGTTCATTATTTTACACACACAAGTCCCGTATTTTATTTAAACTTTGTACAATTTAATTTGTATTTAAAATAGTAAAAGTATTTTCTCTAGTTAGATAAAGAAGATATGGGAAATAATTAATTGTTCTTGCACATATTTAAATGTGTAATGACTTAGTTTATATTTACATAATATTGAGTATTAAAAATATTATAGATAAATAAATATATATATACATATATCATATATACAAGATACTTCGGTAGAAAATATTTTTTACACAAATAATGCTTTGTGTGAAATCTTAAATGGACATTATTTCAAATCCTCGTCCATATATACAAATAAAATCGTTCCAGCTTTTATCATGGCTGTTAAAATTAATATTTATAAAAAAAGTGAAATAAAGAAGAATAATTATAACATTTAATACATCTTTAAACTTACTTGGGACAACTATATAATTCCATGCCTTGCACATCCGTAACAGATGTAAATACTTGATTTAAGATATCTACATGTATAACTCCATTGGAACATGAATAATTATAGATAATAACTTGCTGATCTATTCCCACGCTACATATTGTATTGTCTTTCAATTTCACACCTGTTGTATTATACATTTTTATAAATTTCTTAAGATATGTGTGGAATATGCAATACATATAACTGTACTTTAAAAGATGTCATATGTGCCTTAACTTACCAACGATTTGTGTGGAATGTGCGGATGCTGTATTCCATTTGGATAATATTTCAGCTGATAGTTTATTTTCTGAGAGATAAATTTGAAAATAGGTGACATTGAGAAGATTGTCATCGCCACCGGTAACCAAAAGATATTTATTTTCATTCATATCCTTCAAATCAAAACAATTAATTCCTGACTGATGCAAGCTAAATTCTGCAAAAGGGATATCGTCGAAATTCAAAATATTCTGGTTCCCAGAATTTGCATCCTCATGTATTTTCGAGACCATGTCGGTAAAATCGAAAAAACGTAATTTTCCGTCTGTACTCATTGTTAATACAATTACTTTGGATTTGTATAATAATATGTGTATCTTTAAAATGCAACGATTTATGTATTTAGTAGATACTTTCAAATATGTATTGTTAGTTACAATATCATATACAAGTAGTCTGCAATGGAAAAAAAGGAATATTATTTTATAACTCTCATAAAATAATATGTCATTCTTGATGAAATAAATAATTAAATTACCTTA